ATAACATTACCTCGGTTCAAGACAGACGCTCAGTGCTTATTTCTCTCCTTTCAATGCGTGTTTGGCCTTATGCATGATCCATCTAAGTGTAGGACACATGGGCGTCAATTACTTTTCAAAATCACGAGAGCATAACATTGATTAGAAGTACTGGTAACATGAACACCAAGCCATTACATCCAGGGGGCCAGGGCTCACTTTAGGGCCTGGAAAATTTTTCATTCTATGTTTTGACATGCAATCTAGGGCAATTAGATCACTTTCACTTCTTTTTCTTAGCAAATGGTTTGGCAAAAAATTTTTTTTTATTTCTCACATAATTTTTATCTGAATTATGGATCAAATGCAGGCCTACTCCCACTACTTTTATTTATTTTGGGTACGGAAGAAAAGTGAAGTATGGTAAGATATGCCCCCATCCCACTTTAGAAAGTACCCCACACACACACACCCAAGTGTATAAAGGCCTCCAATCGTGGACTCCCTATTGTTCCACTTTTGTTCATACTTAAACATTTTCGGAAGACCTCCCATAAGTTTTGTACACATTTTTCAACCGTGGACTCTTCGGCAATGCGGTTTGGCGGGGCTCGTCCCCGGAAAACCCCTTTTGGCCGGGCGAGGATGGATGGGTCAATGGCCTGAGGGCGTGTAGCGAATCAGGCCACTTGTATTACGAGACAAGCAACCAATCACAACCTGCGTTACATCGCACTGTGGGCAATTCGCGCGTTTTCTCGGCCTCTTTTTGCTCACACCTTCGCCGAGCAAATCACGTAAAAAATACCCTCCCACCCTCCCATGTTTATGTACTATGCAGTGTGTAGGCTCAGCAGCACTATAATAAAAACTGGAGTTCGTCCCCATGGCCACCCGTCCACCATCGGTTTTAATGTACAAGCTAATTTGGTTCGTAATGTAAAGTTGGTTGGCCAAAGCAGTTTATGGAATTCAGTAGAGTATATGTATATGTGGGCACAGGACCTGCCCTACAGGCAAAGGGTAACTTCTGGACTTGTCAGCATTTTGCTTGGCTGAGGGCAACAAGGGTTGGGCCCTCAAGCTCAAGTGGTTAGGGACTTATTTCTGCCCTGGGGTACTCACACATACATGTAGGAGCCTTTGGGTTAACATGTTCTGAAGCCAGCACTCACTTGTGAGCTTGGTATAGTTCACTGGGGGTTAAGGCGTCCTGAAGTTGGCGCTACTGTGGACTCGGTATAGTCCACTGGGGGTTTAGGTGTCCTGAAGTTGGCACTTGATTGTGGACTTGGTATAGTCCACTGGGGGTAAAGGTGTCCTGAAGTGGCGCCTACTGTGGACTCGGTATAGTCCACTGGGGGTTAAGGTGTCCTGAAGCGGCGCCTACTTGTGGACTTGGTATAGTCCACTGGGGGTTAAGGCGTCCTGAAGCGGCACCTACTGTGGACTCGGTATAGTCCGCTGGGGGTGAAGGTGTCCTGAAGCGGCGCCTATTGTGGACTCGGTATAGTCCACTGGGGGTTAAGGTGTCCTGAAGCGGCGCCTACTTGTGGACTCGGTATGGTCCACTGGGGGTTAAGGTGTCCTGAAGTGGCGCCTACTTGTGGACTCGGTTTAGTCCACTGGGGGTTAAGGTGTCCTGAAGCGGCGCCTAATTGTGGTCTCGGTATAGTCCACTTGGGGTCAGGGTGCCCTGAAGCGGGCACTTGCATGTATTTGTATAGTTTTTCTAGGGAGCTAAGGTGTCCCGAAGGGGGCACTTATTTGTGGACTCGGTATAGTACACTGGGGGGTGGGACTTTCGGGCTGTTGGCTCAAGGGTACATGTTGGCACTTTGCATTACTGTTATGCTGTTCAAAGAGGTGCTTCTCCCCACTTTGGCAGCAAATCGCAGTGTTTGTAATCTGGCGTAAATTTCGGTTTAAAGGGGGTTTGTCACCCCTCCCCGGGCCTGTTGGAACCTTCCCTCGGGCTTCCTCCTTCGTTTCTCGAAGTGGTCGGGGTGGGGTGAAGAATCTTTCCCAAAAGTAAAGGGGGGTATGTTGCCTGCAGATCATGCTAGTCTGATAAATGTGCTTTTTTCCTTGCCCAAATCCATTAATTAAGGATAACACTGGGAAAAGTGGATAGTCAAACATGATGGTAATTTCTCTTGGTATTGTACATGTATTCACCTTTTGTAGTTATATTGGCTGTAGAGATAGAGTTACTGGTTACAATTTTGTGACTCCATTTGTATACCAGTTGCTAATGAAACAAAAAAGATTGTCTTTGCTAAAATTGAGCTTGTGAATACTTTTGCTGCACACCTCACTCAATGTGTTAAACTCACCACCTGGTTTTCGGTAACATTAAGTATTGTCATCGCATTTTAAGGTCTCAGGTTAATCTAGTAAGACCGG